AACAAGAACGATCTACTGCTTCCTCATTAGAGCTTCGATTATTAAGTACTAAAATATTACGAAAAATTTAATTAAATTCCAAAATTATATGGATTTTTTTCAAGAGTGATATATTCTACAATTTTAAATAAAATGAAAAGTAAATAACATCTATAGCTATTTTAGTGATGAATTTGTGCTGGAATCTAAAGTTGTTGGTGGAATAATATTATACAATGAGGCAGTGCGTAAAAGAAATTTCTGTAATGCTGTCCGTACTTCAGCAGCAGTAATATTGTGTGATAATAGATTAATCGCTTCCGGATAGAAGTCAGGAAGATATCGTACAAGCTGATAAGAAAATATAGATGAGTTTAGTCAAAGTCAAAAATATATCTATTAGGTATACACAGAAATATATTACTGATCATACATCATCATCTTTAAAGTGGACATATGCATTTAAAACTGTAGTCACTATAGGCGCCCACGCGTTAATATTCCGTGTTTGTGACTCGGGGTCCAATGAATTGAAGTGTTTCAATATTTGTTGTGTTAACCTATTAGAATAGGTTATTATATTTTAGAGAGGCTTTGTATAAATAAAATCATAATTTTAATAATTAACTCACGGTATTAGCTTTCGTTCAACATCTAGTTTTCGCTCAAGACGGTTTGGGGAACTATCATCATGCATTCTTCTCAAAAGATCTAGATAGCACGATGCACTGCTTGATTCTTGCTTAAGCATGTTGGGCAACTGTTTCATAAGCCCTAAAAATATATTTATATTTTAGCATAGTTTACTTGGAAATGTAAACGCAACACTCTATAAAATATATAATGACCTATTTTCCAGAGTGCCACTCTCAATTCTTTATCTTCATTGAATTTTCGTGCAAAGCTATATGATTTGTTTAAGCATTCGCCAATTATCAATAAATGCACGGCGGGAATTGACTCGTATACCGTATCATTGCTTAAAAATTCATTTACAGTATCTATTAACAATAGTTGAAGCAGACACTTTATAATAATCTTATTGAATTTTTGGGTTCTTTGCTCATCATGAGTCACGGTTGTTGATGTATGTTCGGGTTCGGAATAATGTTCTTCAATCATGGATCGAGTGTTCAAATCTATTTCAGAAACGAACCCGTTTACATTATGCCCATTTTGACCTAAACCAAAAGTATAAATAAGAACAGCTGATAAATGATCACAAATTATATTGTAATATAATAATTACCATATATTTCGGTAAGCCCATTGGATTTTTCTGAAAATTGGTTAGCAGCATCAATGAAGTAGTGTCCTTCATTAAGTAAATTATATGGAGTAGTTGTTTCAAATAACTGGACAAACATTGAACTAATTTTTCCCCAATGCTTATAGTCAAGCTTCTTTACATTATCTTGAATCAGTGTTTGTAAACAAGAGCTCCCAATACGCGCGAGCGTATCGTTCTCTAAATATACGTATGATTATTGAATAAACAAAGCATATTATTGATGTAACAAATCTTAAATATAGCCCATTACCTTGTGTCATACAAGAACCAAGTAAATCTAATATCCCGTCAATCATTACTTCAAGCGTGTCGAAATAATGTGTGAACAAATCAATCATATTACGAAGAGCTTGGATCATAGTAGTTGATAACCAAACACTCATATCTTCGTGACTTGAGAATTTGGATATATCCGAACGTGATCTTAATACACCAAAGATAGGAAAAAGAACTTGACGACATATTACACTCCAAAACTCTAAAGAATATGTATTACCATATTTTTTAAGGGTGTCAAACATAGAAATTAAGGCTCTAAGATGCAATTAAGAAAAATTAGACTTCTTATGAATCATTGTCAACACATGCAAGTATAACTACGTTCTAACCTTGTCCTAACTTCTAAATCTTCGCCATTCATTATAACATCATGAAATCCAAATAGTAATGGATACCAAAATTTGAATGAAGGATCATCGTTAGTAATTTTGACTCCAGTCGAATTCGCAACGCCATTAGGTCCATTAATGGAAGAATGTATTTTATATTGTGGATACTCTAGCATCTTTACTATAGACATGCACATAAGATCAATTGCTTGAAGACTTTGTTTAAATAAAAATAATTAATTTCCAATTAATCAAATAGTACTATTTAAAGAATAATATAAAACATATTACCTTGTTTTTTGAAATCGCTTGTTTTTACAAAATTCCGTAAGGCAAACCATAAGATCAGGGTAAGTACTATTGGATACAATACCATCAAATTGATCTTTTACTATCATTTTAACAATGTCGAATGCCATTATAACAATTGATTCTAAAATAAAATAAATTACGTAAATAAATTTGCGTAAACAGCTCAAGATGTTTGTTAAACCCGAGATTTACCATTCGTTTCTTTTGCTGCAGCAGACAAAACACCAAATAAAGCTTTCCATCCAGATTTGATGTTGTGTGATCGAGCTTGTATCATTTGGTGAACACAACGCAACACCTTGAGCACATATAATATAATCGTACATACTTTAATATAGAGAGACTATAATTGCTTTTATAGAAATACTGTAAAAGAAAAAACAATTACCATGTCTTTTATGGAAATATTGGCATTATTGACTAATATATATTCAAAAGGCCTTAAAAAGTCCTTCTGAAATTTAAAATGAGGAAGTTCTTCCTTTCCCAAAAATTGCATTGCAAGCTGACGAAGAGAATCGATGGCAAAGAATCCAACATTAATATTTGGATGACATCCCACCTACATTATTATTAATGTGTTATTAATGCATGCAATATATTTTAAAGTTAATGTGCTAATTATATTTATTTACCATATTGAAATGATCACCTAATATGGCCCACATATTAGACCATTCCATTCGGATACGACCCATATTATAATATGAAATCTCAACTAGTTTTTGTAAACTAAACATTCTTGGATGCTCTGTCATGGTTGAAGACTGTATCTCTTCCCACGAGACACAGCTTAATGCTCGCACAAATTCTACAATAGCAGTCTGGAATAGTGACAATTATAGTTATGTTACATGACCATTAAAAAAACAAATAAATAAAAAAAGAACT